CCCAAAACCCCAAAACCCCAAAACCCCAAAACCCCAAAACCCCATTAGATATCCAAATATTGAGAGAATTAAATATTTTCCGACAACTAAAAACGAACCCTTTAAGATACATTAGAAAGATGGAAAAAGTAGGCTTGAGCAAGATATTCAAGTTGAACTGGGCTAACACAGCTATAAACAGCTTAGCCATTGATGAAAGTGGAGCTTTCGGCTCCAGACAAGTCAGGGGGTATCATTATAGGTAAGAAAGAGCCCATTCTCTAACTAATGTTTATAGCACGGTTTCTCCAACCCCTTGTGAAAATCCCAGCCTCGTCTCTATTTGAGACAACATTATGGAAGAAGCACTTGATATTCCTAAAGGAAGCATAATTGAAGATTCTGAGGAATGGGCTCAAGTCCTTTCTGGAAATAAATTATTTGAAGGATCTAAACCGATTTCTCATTGATACTGCGGACACCAATTTGGAGTATTTGCAGGCCAGCTAGGTGATGGTAGAGCAATCTCTCTTGGAGATATAAGAAACAACAAAGGAGAGATATGGGAGCTACAGCTAAAAGGAGCTGGACTAACTCCTTACTCACGAACTGCAGATGGTAGAGCAGTCCTAAGAAGTTCCATCAGAGAATACTTGTGATCAGAGGCTATCCATGCTCTTGGAATTCCTACTACAAGAGCAGGATCTATTATCACCTCAGATTCAACTGTAGCGAGAGACTTACTATATAATGGGAATGTCATCTATGAAAATTGATCAGTTGTCCTAAGACTTGCTCCGTCCTTTATCAGATTTGGATCCTTCGAAATCTGTCTGCCTACTAATAAATTGTCTGGTGCTGAAGGTCCAAGCCATGGGTTAGAGGATGAGCTTATCCCCCAACTATATCAATACGTAATAGATAATTTTTATCCAGAAATTTGGAAGAGATATGAAAGTGAAGAAATTACAAAAGAGGATATGTTCTTAGAAACATTTAAAGAAATCCAAAGAAGAACTGCTCAAACAGTAGCAAAATGGCAAGCTGTAGGATTCTGTCACGGAGTTCTAAACACTGATAATATGTCTATCCTTGGCCTTACAATAGATTATGGACCATTCGGGTTTATGGATAACTTTAACCCTGACCATATATGAAACCACTCTGATAAAGATGGAAGATATTCATATGATAACCAGCCAACGATGTGTAAATGGAATCTGATAAAACTCTCTGAAGCGCTTGAATCCTTAATCCCTGAAGCTAAAGAGCACGTCACAAATAACTTTGATATGGAATACTCTACTTTTTACATCCAAGAGTTCCAAAGCAAACTTGGCATTAAGAAGCAGCAAATTGGAGATTTGCAGATGTATGAATACTTAATATCTACTCTAAAGGCAGGAGGATATGATTGGACAAATTTCTTTAGAATTCTCTCTGGAATTACAGTCCCTGATACAGAAGAAGATTGAACAAATTTGGAAAGCATCCAGAGTGTAATTGATTCAATCTTCGAACTAAGAACAAAGAAGAGTTTGATGTGTAAACGTAAAAAGCCTCAATTTGCCAAAATGCAATTGATGAAGCTGAAAGAGATTATGGATACTCAGCCTGAGCTTCTTAAATATATAAATGCTGATCCTAAGTTTATTGAGAAGGAATTACAAAAGGATGAAGAGTATACTAAGCTAGTGGCATCAGAGGAGTCTGAATTAGATAAAGAGACAAGAGAATCTTTGAATAATTTTGTAATCACCTATAGAAAGAGACTCTTCCAAGATTTTGAGAATAGAGATGACCAGGAATTGACTTTAGAAGAATTTAATTCCCAGAGAGTTTTAAATATGTTGAAGACGAACCCTAAGTTTATCCTTAGAAATCACCTTGCACAAGAATGCATTAAAAAGGCTGAAGAAGGAGATTATTCAATGATTGATGGACTATTAAAAGTATTAGAATCTCCGTTCGATGAACATGATGGTACTCCAGATCACTGGTCTGCTCCAGCTCCTGAATCAGCATATGATCTTTGTGTTTCATGCTCTTCATAATCAATTCAATAATATCCATAATTGTAGGGGTTTTGGGGTTTTGGGGTTTTGGGG